CTAATGGTGTCTAGCTTGAGTCTGAAATATATTGTCTGTGAAATATATTACAGGCGTAATATAGTACTGCATAATACATTACCCGTAAATGGATTGTCATTGTTTGGGTAATATTTAGATGCAACTTGAGAAATTCATTGCTATTGTTTGGCTATGTCTGGAAGAAATATGAAAAATACATTTCCATCCAAATATGAAAAATATGGCTATGTTTGGCTAACATGATTAGAATTTGGTTTGGTTTTAATATCATAAGTCATTGGAATAACATGATTTTATTGCGATAAGCCTTATTCTTATTTATTTTTTATAGAAGTCTTTCAAATGTCTCTATATGTAGTTTCAAATAAGCAATAAATTTATAATACTAAAATCAAAATATTTATGGTACAAGTTAAAAAATGGAAAGAAGTTTCATTAGTTACCAAAATCAAAATATTTATGGTACAAGTTAAAAAATGGGGAAAAGTTTGATTAGTTATTAAAATCAAAATATTTATGGTACAAGTTAAAAAATGGGAAGAGGTTTGATTAGTAAACTAGAAAATTTGGTTATTGCAGTAGAAAATTTTGAAGCATTGGAGGAGACTAAAGAGGTATCTTATTTCAATTGAGCTTTTACTGATTTCTTATGAGGATTATGTTGTGTGAAAGTTTTTATTATGATTGTGTTGTGTAATTTCTCATCGATTACTAATTATTATTTTTATTATTTTTGTTTTTATACGACAGATGATGGCGGCCTACAACCCAAATTGGGGATAGAGGGATATAAATTTTTTTTATTACGATTGTAGTAGAAAATTGTCTCTCATCAAGTTCTACCACTGTTGAAATCAATTTAGATTTCTCCTTACTTTCCCTTACCAATTATTAAAAATTTTTGTTTTTATATGAGAGCTAGATGAGGGCTACAACTCAAATTGGGGATAAAGGGATATAGAAATTTTTTATTATGATTGCAGTAGAAAATTTCCGTCGTACACATGTTCAAATCAATTTAGATTCCCTTTTCATATCCCCTACTTTCACTTTCTATCTACCTTAATAATTAGAGAAATGTTTTTTTAAGCGGGGATAGGACAATACAAATCAATTTAGATTCTGCTTTTTATATCCTTACTTTCACTTTCTACCTACCTTAATAATTAGGGAAATGTTTTTTGAAGCGGGAATAGGGAAGACACATACGAAAGATTTCCAAAGATTACCCATCAACTTCGTAATAGATTTTCACCCTAATGTCTTTCTATTTTTTACTATTAAAATATTCCAAAACAGTGTAAATGTCATATTTCCTTATAATCTATTGTGCCGTTTGGATACCTGAAAATATATTGTCTGTAAAATATATTACTGGTGTAATGCATTACTGCGCCACTGTTTGGATAGTATTTAGATGTAAATACATGGTTACTGTTTGGCTATGTCCAAAAAAAATATGGGAAATGCATTACCAACAAATTTTTTTTTTTTTTTTGGCTTTATACCCAAAGCATGATTGAGTGGTACAATCCCTATTAGTATGTAGCTTAAACTTTATAATTGCATCAGGCATAAGAATTAGCCACACCTTTTGTATGCCTTTGCATCTTGACTTGGAATCACATGTTTTCAAGATATTAGCACTTTGGAATAACATACTTTTATTATGATAAGCCATCATATTTTTTATGTTTTTTTTTTTTCTTGTGCTAAAGCCTTTCGATCATCTCTTTTCAGAAAACTTTAGAGAAATTTGGCTAGTAACTTAGAAGGCTTTATGACTTAATGAGATGTATAGGAGGAAAAATTATATTGGGGCATTGGAAGAGATTGAAGAGGTAAATTAATTTTAAAAAATAATAATAATTCAAGTACATTGATTTGACGATTCTCTGTGAGTGAACTCAAGAATTTTGAATTTATCAACAAACAATAGCAGCAAAAAATAAAATAAAGCTAAAAAAATAAACAAAATGATCTTAGCAGAAAACCTTTATTTTATTTTTTTTGAACAATACCTAGATTGCAGAACTCAAAAAAATAAATCTTGCATCTCTAGAAATAAGCCATAGTTACAACTGTCGTAGTTACAACTGTAGTAGCAGAAGATGTGGTTAGGCTACCAGGTTTTAGTTGTTGGTAAGATGGGGTTGGGGCTACAGGATTTTAGCGGCTAGCTATTAGTAAAATGGGACTGGGGCTCCAGGATTTTAGCTAGCTGTTAGTAAGATGGGGTTGGGGCTACAGGATTTTAGCGGCTAGCTGTTAGTAAAATGGGACTGGGGCTACAAGATTTAGCTGCTAATTGAAGAATGGGGTGGCGGGTTTTAGCTGTTAGTAAGATGGGACCGGGGTTACCAGGTTTTAGCAGCTAGATGCTAGTGGAAGAAAATGTCGTTGTTGTGTGAGTAGTTGCTAGTTGCTACTAGTTGAAGAAGATGGGCAAGATGTGGTTGTTGTGTGATTTATCGGTTTTAGCTGTTAGTTGAAGAAGATGGGTTGTTGTGTGATTTTTGAGGTAAAGGAGCTATTGGTAGTTTTAGCTGCTAATTGAAGATATTTTTTTTGGTCGTTTATTAAGAAGTGAATCATGGGATATTGAAGAATTATTTATTTATTTATTTTGTGGCTTATTAGGAAGTGAATCATCAGATATTTGGGTAGCTACAGCGTTTTAGCTGCGCATTGAAAAAAAATTTTTGTTGTGGTTTATTAGCTGCTCAGTGAAGATTTTTTTTTTTGTGGTTTATTAAGAGATGAATCACCAGATATGTGGGTAGACGCGCTTGAAAGATTTTCCCCATTACCATGATTACCCATCAAGCAAGCATGTAATAGATTTTTCACCCTCATTAAAGTGTGTCCAAACAATGGAAATGTCATATTTCCGTCTAATCTATTTCATTTCCAGGTTCTGGAACGGCCCCGTAATAGATTTCCACGTACCCAAACGTCTCTGAAACAAATGTTCGGCAACGTTCAACCAGTCGAGACAATTTTTTTGGGAGGGATTTCCATCAAACTTAAGAAAATCAGTGTTAATAGGAACTTTTTTCTCTCATCTTTACGCCCATCATGACGATGATCATTCCATGCCTCTTTGTCTATGCCCCTATGTTGGCCAAATCAGTCGGATGGTTGGCTATCCAACTGCTCACCACGTTCATGATCTCATCGATGATGTCCTGCATCAAACCCAATATGTGTAATCAAACACATCTATAGGCTGCTCTGACTTAGATTTGCACTGGATTCATAGTGTTCTCCAAGAAATCCTCCCGGCATAGACCCACCCCTGCGAGTCTTGCTTTGCTCGAGGCATGTTAATGTAGATCTTCATTATGTAACAACCATGCAACCATCTCCAAGAAAGCGTTTGTTCTTCTGGTCTAGTTTGTTGTATCTGCAAGCACAACCATGAAAACTAGCCATCTATGTTTCCAATTGTTCCAAACCATACTGTGATACTAAATTAATTTAAGAGGAATGTGATAAGTTATATATGTCCTCGTTTCGATCCTAGAGTGAACCAAACAACGCAACAATGGAAATTGAGTGCCCAGTTTTCTAAGGGATTATACCATATAGGAAGGTCCCACTCGACAGCTTGACCTGCTGTCATGGTGGCATGTCATTCATGCGCATTAATGTCTCGGGTTCGAAGCATATCTCGGGTTCGAAGCCCAGCTTGACTGACGCAGTGGATTCCCTTCCCTCTCTTTCAAAAAAAAGAAAAGTTAAGCGGCTAGGGATGTCTCAGAGAATTTAAGAACTTTATTGGACTTTGCATGTGGTCATTATGGTCCCCTCCAACCACTGGATTTCTCATTTAACTGCCACCGTCAATTGTAACCTTCTACTAAAAAGTAAACAAATGGTATATTTTTCTATTTTTCAAACAAAGAAACCGTGATATACCAAAATTAGTACACTACATTATATTAAAACTCATCTAACAGCTCAGATATAGTCCTCAAATAAATAAAATAATAATTATAACTAAGTCCATAATTTCAACAAAAATAAATGCAGGCTCAGTTTAGATCTTGCCTAACCCTTTCAAGTGTTTGACCAAGCCTACGAACATGATGTTGAAAAGGTGAGGAAAGTCATCAACATCATCTTTATCCGAGCCTCATTCCAACTATATGGGGTCGACTACATGAATCATGTTTCTCTTCCAGTTCATATGATGTTGAGAAGGTTAGGAAAGTCATCAACATCATCATTATGCAAGCCTCATCCCAACTATTTGGAACTAGCTACATGAATCCAATTTCTCTATTTGGATCAAGATTTATTACAGGGATGTGGCAAAAATTTTATGATGCTACCAACCTAATACAATCCTCCTCCTTTCTCAATGGGGCTTGGGAGCAGCAATAGCGGAATTTCCGAAGAATATAAGAAAAGTATGGAAAAAAAAAAGAAGGAAAAAAACGAAAAAGATGAAGATAAAGAAAATCTAAACCAATCTGTAATTTTGTATTCATACCTAAGCTTTCCACTTAGCCACTTAAAACTTTCAGTTCGTCCACTTAGTCACTTAAGGATTTAGTCGACAAGGTACTCACCAATTTTAGTTTCAAAAAGGACAGGGCTTTTGAGATCTAAGTGGGATTTTCAAAGATATAAAGTTCTTATTGTAATGAAATTCTGGTATGTGTGGAACTAATATGCCCCTGGACAAATATAATCAATAAAGCGTGAATAAGCACCCTCAAACTAGAACGACACAACAAAAAATCTTCAAGTTACAAATGTACAGTTACGTATAGAGAAAACTCTAAGGGATTCCATAAGAGAGTTTCTACGAGCTTAGGGTCAACCAAATGTATAAGGTCAGCCAAATAACAGAAAGAGTTTCTACGAGCTTAGGGTCAACCAAACGTATAAGGTCAACCAAATCCCAAGTCTCTCCCGCTTGAAATAAGTATACCAATTAAATTATTGACATCTATGACCATCTCCACAAGGATCTAATGGGTTGATGGAAAATAGAAAATGTGCGTAACTGATTATGGAGACCACAAATCTTCCTTTTCCAAACAAATAAACAGACATGTGACACATGTAATACAAAGCATCCAAACTATTAACATTTCATCCAGATTACAAAAAAGTGCTAATATAAAATCCGAGCTATATATACAAGAGAACTTAGCTTCTCTCAAGCTGACCAACAAGAACTCTCTTCTAAGCTTTAAAATCTCTGACCCCTTTCCCCATGGGCCCACCAAATGGCCTCAAGTCAAAGATATCAGACGTGGGCATCAAAGATGGCCTGGCATTGGAATTCAAAGCCATGACTGGAGTCCTTGCAAAATTACAGCTAGGTGGCCAGATAGGGGTTGGCAGCAAAGGTGGATTGCCTTGATCATGGATATCCATTGGCCTAGGTTGATGCCCTTGAGGAAAATTTGGTTGATGAACCTGGGGTTGAGGATATGGTGGACCTTGAGGAGCTTGAAAGTGCCCTAAGGTAATATTTGCCGGTGTGAAAAAGAACGATGGTCTAGAGGCTGCTGATGCTGATGGTCCTGTCTCAGGTTTATGATCCACAGATGGGGGACACCACTCAGGCATATCATCGTCGTCATCCCAAAGAGGCTTCTGTACAACTTGAGAAGCAACCTTTGGACTTGGTAAAATCATGTTACAATTGACATTAGTGGGTCCTGTTATCTCCTCCTTACTGCAAAGACTCTGAGTTGTTTTGGTAGTGGGTGAAATAGAAACCAAAACCTTCATTTCATGTTCCCCATTCTTCTTTGATTCCTGGTGAGAATTTACTTCCACTTGTAGTAGAGGAATAGGAGGATGGAGATTTTGTTGATGTGCAACTGCTAACTGCCTTGAAATTCGCAATGCTGAAAACAACGGGCATTTGGGATCACTGGTTTCTGCAACTTGGGGTTGCTTCTTTGCTTCATTGCTAATAAGAGGAGGCACATTTAGGGGGAATTGAGGAAGCCCACAAGCTGAAACAAAGTCAAACTCTGGAAGATCTTCATCATCAGGACTGCCAAACTTCTGTGGATTTCTTATCAATGCATGAAATAGTTCAGAAAGAGAATCTTTGGATACTTTCGTGGCCCCATCAAAATTACTTCGTTCTTTGGGCACATTGGGCTTCTCAACTTTAAAGAAGTTGGTCCTGGGATCCTTTGGAACTGAAGTAGATAACCCTTCAACAGTAACCGGTGATAACTGATGAACAGTCTGCTTATGGGTTATATTTTTACACAAAAGAGTAGCTTGTTGCACTTTCTTGTTATCTGCATCAGCATTTTGAATGGCTATCCCTATGGGTTCGATATAATGTGTTCTTGCATCTGGTGTGGGGTTATTGATCGTAACCTGCTTAGTACCTTGATTCCCTTCTAAATTATTTGTCGGTGGAGCTTTTGTTTCTACAGAATGTGGGGTGCTAGAGATTGAAGGGGAATCTGATGATTGTCTTGATAAGGGAGATACATATGTTTCTGAAGCTTTAGGCAAAGAAGATGAGGTTGCACGATTTCTTCTCCATACAACACAGCCGATTAAAGCATCTTGATCATCTAAGTTCGCTGCCGCACCCTTATAGAATCCATGCTTTGAAAGTAATGTTATGATAGTATGACTTTGGGGACAGACATAGATATCAACCCCGGGTGCAAGCTCTGCAACACCTATTTTCTGCCCTTCCTTGTATCCTTTTGCAATCTGTAGTCACATGAGAAATAAGCACATATTCATGGAAGGCCTAATTTGAATTGGATTTACATTGCAGAGTGCAATGTCAACATAAAGTTACCTTCTTCATTCCTGTTAGACCTAATTGGGAAGATCCAGTTTTCCAACAAAGTGCAACAACCTGAAAAGAGAGATATTAGACGCCCTGTAGCGCTCATATTTCAGAACTGTACCAAACATACATAACAGTCAGAATAAGCGATGAATCCCCCTGATATCCTAGCATGCTTGCAAGTACTTTCATATAATAAACAAATAATAAATAGGAAATCAAAGTATGTGATTCTGAAGAAGCAATATATTCTACGTAGGATCTATTAAATTATGTGAAATATCTGTAAACTAACTTGCATTCTCTATCAGCCAATCCAACACCATAGGACCATTCACTTGGTTAAGTCTTCCCAAGCAGAACAGGGTACTCTTCTACCCAGTACATACAAGACAAATTTATTGAGAGCAAAATTCCAATTTTATACAACAACATGAATACTGATACATATAATATCATTATAATCCAAGATATTTGAATACTTGCCTATGCTCAACATACCAGTGTTCATATGATACAACATTGACACTGATATTAGATACTTCTCAATATAAAATGATACACACACTATGAACAAAACGTAAAACAAGTATTATGATGTATCTAAACTTATGATATGTTTAAAGTAAATTTGTAATGTGATGTACGAGGGTACATTGTCAATATATAAAGAACATAAAATATGATACGCCTAACATATACCATGTATATAAGTATTACAGAAATTAATGTACGTACCCCTTAAATTTTTGCAGCAATTAAAAAATGTCCCCATTTCCTTCTTTTATTTTTGCCAAAATACCCCCGCTTCGGAACTCTAAGTTCTGGATCAATGTCTCTCTCTCTCTCTCTCTCTTGTTTTTTTTTCTTAGTGACATCTGTTTGGAACTGGTAGTTCTAAACCACTTATTCATGGAAAAGCCAAACAAGCGTCCCCAATTCAGAACTTGAAGTTCTGAATCAAGGACACACATATTTCTTGAGTGAGATCAGTTCAGAAATTCAAGTTACGAACCACTTATTCCCACATCAAATACACAAGCATCCTAGATTCATAACTTCCAAGTTCCAGACCATGGACACTTGTCTATTTTCTGAGTGAATGTGCTGTTCGGAACTCGAAGTTCCAAACAACAAAGTTTCCAATAGGTAGGTTCGGAACTTGGAGTTCTGAGTCAAGGCACTCTAGAAAAAATAAAAATAAAAAGCAAAAAAAAGGGACATGAGCACAAAATATAATGGGAGCCATTTTTCAATACCTAAAAAACTAAGGGATATTTACATTAATTCCTGACTATTAAGATACTAAAGATATATGATATATCATTATATTACACACTAGATAAGCTATAAAACATATGTTTAAATGTGTTGGATAGGATCTTTTCATCCATGTCCATATATGTATCCTATCGGTTTAGGCATCTCGGATTCCAATATGGTATGGAATATCTAAGAATAAATATTCCTAGGAACTTGTTAAAAATGGAAATCTTATCATTAGGCAATCTGGTATTTAACTTGTATATAAGTATCTACACATCTACTAGTTTCGTAATGGCAGCTGTCAGATGGAGGGCAGCACAAGCGGCAGTGTAGTACATTAGGCCTACACGCTACAATACATATGTTTCAATGTGGTGGATAGGATATTTGCATCCATGTCCATGTCTATATCCTATCAGTGTATAGGCATCTTGGATTCCAATATGGTATAGATTATCTAAGAATAAATATTCCTAAGAACTTGTTAAAAATGGAAATCTTATCATTAGGTAATCTGGTATTTAACTTGTACGAAAGTATTTACACATCTACTAGTTTCGTAATGGCAGCTATCAGATGGAAGGCAGCAAAAGCTGCAACGTAATACATTAGGCCGATCAAGAATCCTATTCACTGTAGCTTTTACTGTTTATGATTTGCTATACGCATATTGAAAAATCTGTTCCACGAGAGCACTATCTTCCTTGCCGTAACTCAAATAAAATTTATATAGATTAACTATCTGGTTGACACTTCCAGTTTCATTTGTTTAATCTGGTTGTTTATTCGTGTGCCAATAGCCACCCTGAGTTGATGTTTTTGTTTGCATATTTGTGGTGTTTTACACTTTCAGTGGTTTTCTCTGGGAGGCCTCGGATGTTATGGATTGTTAAAAAGTTCAGAGTTTTTACAACAAAATCATGAGATGTGCAAACAAAAATACCCCTTGAACATACCATGGTTCATCTAATTATTGACCTCACAATGAACATAGGGGCACATTGATTTGTGATTTCTATTTGTTCTGGACCATACCATGGAAAGTGCCGCATATGGTGGTAATTTGGAAAGACCTACGCTGGTGTTAGTCGTTTGGGCCATACCAAAAGTAAGGTTCAAATAAATCACTCTCACAGTTTTGGGCCTCTGAAAGATTAAAAAACATGGGGTTTGCTCCATGCTTTTGTGGACTGTTTGGGAAAAAATAAAATTGTTATTTATTACCATTTTAGAAATGACCAAACTATCCCTATTTTACACAATCCCTTTTGTTCAATGTTTTCTAAAATTCCCCACATATTTCTTTCCAACTGTTGAAATGAAGGGGCCTATATACTTTGAGATATGGGAAGTTTGGTGTGGTGCACCTCTCACTCTCCTCCACTATACTTGTTCCCTCTCTCTCTCACTAAACATTTAGATGTGCTTTTAGTCGAAGGGTGCATTTATAACGTTGCAAGGGACAACCTAACCATCTATTGTGAAGTCATCTTGTTCTCATCATCTCTCAATCACTTTCTCTCTACATTGTTACTGATCTCTCCATGTTCAAGAAAATCCAACAAGGTATTACCAAGGTATATGTTTCCTAAAGGTGTGGTTTTTTTTTCCATTCTCTACAAGCCCTAGTTGAAACATCTCAGTGAATTCGTTCCATACACCATATTTACCCATTTTTAGAATGATTTATCATTAAGGTAAAATCTGATGGAGGACGAAAGATTGGACATTGATTAGTAGTTTTGGTGAGACCTTAGTTCAGTTACCATACTTTGCATTCTCTCATAATATGGAAGAGTTGTTCAGCCGGGTCTTAAAGTGAGTGTAGGCTGATTGTTGAATGAAGGAATTTGGCTTCAAAAAAAAAAAGTAGACTCCTTGGTAATTCACTATTCTCTTATTTTAAAGGGGTGGGGTTGAGCAAACTGAGAGTGGACCATTCATCTACTGATGCAGCTTTTCTCTTATAAGGCAAGGCGCCCCTCCTCCGTGCCAAGTCATGTCATGTCATTTTCTTGGGCCTAAATCGCTGGCACCCTCTCTTACTCATTATATAAAAGATTGAGAAGTAAAGTAAGTCAGTTCTTTCGAAGAGCCACAAGCGAAACGCTATACCGGGGCAGGGGGACTTGAACCCAATCAATATAAGTATATGCTTATGATTTTTATATGATTGGATTATATGCATGTGAAGTGTTTGATAATATTTCAAGTAGAGTTTAAATAGAGATATTGATCCAAATCTTATTTGCATTAATCCATATCAGTAGCTGTCTTAAAAAAGATCCAAAAATTGATATCAGAGGCTAGATTAAATAGCTACTAAAAGAAGCATACTTTCCCAATGGGTAAAAAGTTAAAAGCTTGATGGATCTAATTTTCCTTTATAGAAGAGTAAACTTTTTTCCTTGCTTCACATATGGATTTGTTGTATGTGATCAATGAAGAGAAACCATGTGAAGCCAACGATGATTGAACTTTTAAGGAAAGCTAAAATTATGTGAAGTGGAAAAATGATGATTTTTCATGTAGAAGTGCTATCCTAAATAATTTGAGTGATAGATTGCATAAAGTATTTGAAGCATGCTAAGGCTAAGGACTTATGGGTTGCCATCGAAAACAGGCACACTGATAATAACTACATAGCTAAATGCGAGCTATATAAAAGATACATGCATAAGATAAAAGAGGATCAATCAGTATTATTTTGATTATACAAATAAATGGCTAATCAACTTGCAAGTTATGACGAGCCCATAAGTGAACACCAACAAATTACGAAAATCATAGAAAACGTCCCAGACTCTTGGAATGCTTTGAACAAAAGTTTGCACCATAATGGAACGATCCATACCTTGGATGACCTTCAAGGACATTTGAGGATGGAAGAAAATGATACAATTAAGCTTTCACTCCCCTCCAGTGGCACTTTGACTCTTACTGAAGTGCCATATGCTTCGGATATGAGAAAAAAATTAGTTTCTCTCTCTAGGATTGACAGGTTTAGAGGTGAAATTTATGTAAGGGATGGAAAGAATGTCATTAATAAAAAGGGTGCTTCTACTATAGAGGCGACAATGGTTGGCAAAATGTATAAACTTGATCTTGATAGTGGAATGAAAAGACCATTTGTTTATGAAGAGTGTTTTAATATTTGGCATAAAAGGTTTAGTCATATTGGCTATGAAAAGTTACCTAGATTAATGAAAGAAAATGTTATCAGTTATCAAGAAAAGGAAAATTTCAAATGTGAGACTTGCCTAAAAGAAAAAGGGCATAGAAAACCGTTACCTAAAGGGAAAAGAGCACAAAATCTACTTGAAATTGTTCCTACTGATATATATGGAAAATTAAACCCCAAAAGCACAGGTAGGAGGGAATATTTTACCGCCATTATAGATGACTATTCTAGATACTCTTATACTTGGATAAATTTAAAAGGTATAAAGTAGAAGTCGAAAACCAACTAAAAACTAAAATTAAGGTTCTTAGAAGTTATAGAGAAGAGGAATACAGATCCAATGAATTTAATGAGTTTTGTAAAAATAATGGAAAATTAGGCAAACCTCTTGGCATTACACCCATCAACAAAATGAAATGGCTGACAGTAAAAAATAGGACATTAATTGAGATGATCAGTTGTATGATACAAGAAGCCAGTGTAGAATATCACTTTGGGGAGAAGCTGTCATGACAACAACCTATATATTGAATAGAGTGCCTTCTAAAGCAACTAATGTAACACCCTTTGAGCTATGGTTTGGTAAAAAACCCAGCCTAGACCATACTAGGGTATGGGGCTC